GAGGCACTCTGTAAAATTTTCTAATCAAAGTGAACTGTTTGCCTATTTTCCTACTAGATAGAAATCCGCTGGATTCTTATCAATCTTTTCCTTGTTGCGATTTATCTTTTTCTTTAAGATTAGATGTATTACGGGATTATTTGCGCAATGTACTTTCAATGCGTATGACTTAAACAGGATTATCTTCACGCGATATCTTGTTTATATTAATAATACTTTTATATCATGATTAAAAAGCCATTTAATCTAATGGGATTAAAAGGTGCGCGTTGATTTAACATGATTTACTCTTCATCATGAACAAGTCGCCTCATCGCAAACAATTACTTTCAGCGCGGAATCTGCCGCGACCAAACAGGATGATTTACATATAAAAATAACCATCAGGTCCATCAATTTTTGACATGGTAAAATCATCCTTCGTTATATTGGATATTATTAGATAACTATTTGCGGTTTTTTTTATACGAGAAACTCGTATTCATTTCCATTAATATATGATAAATAATTTAATTTTCTTTCTGCAGCATCGAATAATATTTGATTCTTTTCTTTAAATTGACGCCGAAAATCTTCTAAATTATATAAGTTATTTTAAAGTAAAATTAAAAATCTTTAACTCATGTTTAAATCATTTTTAAATTAAAAATTTTTAAAGCACTTCTCTTAAATGTGTTTGTGCATACTTACTTAGTCAGAGAAAATTGTATCAGCGATAATGAAAGAATTCTTCGGTGACATGTTACGAGCAAAATGAATGTATATATCCGCTTATATATATGACCATTTTGCATACTTAATAGTTAATTAAGAGAGATTTGAGATTGTGGGATAAATCATTGATTATTTTATCTCAACACTTCATTAAACGTTAACTATCTGATTTTTATATTTTAAAATCGTTGATTTTTTTACTCCCGACTACTGCCAACCTATGGTTGGCAAAAAACGGAGGGAATATGCGTTTCATCGAGCTCGGATCGGTGGTTACCACTTTTTCCCAATAACAATAACATAGTTCGGTGTCATCTTTTGCACATCAATTTTTTTACGACAAAATAATGAGAAGAATCAATTGGTGTAAAGAAAACTCATTCGTTGTTTCGAAAAAAAATATGTAATTTGCAATTAACAATTACATATTTTTTCTTAAACATAACTATGTCTTTTCTTTACACCAATTGATTCCTCTCATTATTTTGTACATAAAAGTATTAAGGTAAAATAATCGAAAAATGAATATTTTACAAGATATTTTACGGTTTATGTAAAATTAAAAAATGATTTCAAGCCTCATAACTTGGAAAGTACTTAATGAAAACTAACTTAATTATAATGTTTTGGAAAGCTCTTGAGATGAGCTACAAGAATATGCAAAAGCATATAGGGTGTCCCATTTAAAAAGTTGGAGCTGACCTTCGCGTGTCCTTCAGGTGGCTCTTCAAGATCAAACTAATGACACCATCTTATGTCCCCCTTGAAACCATACAACTTTTGTCTAAAACATTTTTCTCTATCTTGCTTAGGTTCCGAGAAATTTAGGTGGTCGGATTAAAATGAAACACCCTGTATATGTATCTATGTATAACAAATATGTAAATAATTATATAGAAATTTATTGCATATTCCGCATATATATAATTAACGCTCAAGTTATAAATATGTAAGTGAGTAATAAAATATGTAAGTGATAAATATGATGAAATAAATGCGATATAATTATAGTCCTTCTGATTAATTGCTTCGTATATAGATATTAAAATTGTTCACTAATATTAAGTAATTATACTCCATGGTGGAGTTATTGTAATATATGTCGCTTGCATTCTAATCTTTTTTTACAATGTGCGTAGATACATAAACATATATTTAAACATATTTTTATATGTATAATTTCTGTCTCTTTTTATAATTATGAGAATAAGATAAAGGTAAATCTAACGGTAATATACTATGTTTTTGCAATTATTTATTTAATATCGATTCAGTAATTTCCCAACTTGGGAGACTCAATTTTCAAGTTAAAAAATAAAAAAGATATTTGTAACATTTATAAATAATTAAGAATTATTATTTAGTTATTTTTATGTAATTAAAATTATTATAATTATATTACTTATGCATTCAGGCTGAAAAACAAACATTTACGCATAAAATAAAAATCTTATTTATTAATTTTTATAAATAATTAAAATAAATTGTTCTCTAATTTATATATATTAAGACTGTAGAAAGAAATCTGTAAAACGTGTAAAAAATGCTTCAAAAATATTATTATGCACTATATATGAACATAATGGTTTTAAAATTTACTACGTAATTTGTAAATTATATATATATATATATATATATATATATATATATATATATATTGCTTCTTCATTTTTATTTATTATATTTTTTAATTTATTTGTTTCTCAATCTATTGAAGTGGATCAAATATAATTCTTAAGACCATTTTAAATGATTGAGGTACAGGAGTATATTTGAAGCAACTCTCATAAATTACAGATCTTTTTAACATTTTAAACACATCAAACTATTATGAATTTATTTCCGAGATTATGAAAATTGCACAATTTGTGACTTATTAAAAAAATGGGGACAATAATCGCGATTATCTTTTATCTTTTATAAAAATTATAAAACTATTTGTAAAAGGCAACAGGTCAAAAGAGGTCATAACAGGAATAGCGTGTTGCGTTCACAGTGTGTGCTCGATGTTGTATATTTACAAGGACCTTATTACAATACTTACGCATTTCATTAATATTTCTATTTATATAAGAGGGAAAAATTATATCGCGGAATCGATTACTCGATAATGCCAGGTGTTTCCTATACAAAGTATTTTCAGGCATCATTTTTATTGAAACGTCCGGCGCGTTGACAAAGCGATTTACATTGCGAGAGATGCGATGTCAAGGCTGACTACAATCCCTAATCTGCCGTCTTTCCTTCTGCGGACTGTAAATAGTTCACCCACAATGTACATACACATGCTCCTTTTGAAGTATTTCACGTATAATGTATTGGGATTGTTTTTCAATACCGATGATAGGAGAGAGAATGAATAATAGATTGCGACGGTTGTCGAGAGATCTATGACATGCGATTAAGCCGATTCGAAACGTGGGGAGATCCAGACGTCAATATCGACTATTATTTGAATAAATAATTGCAAATAATAATAAAAAATAAATAATTTTTAATAAAATAAAATTAATTAAAATTAATAAACAAATGAAAAATGAAATTAAAAAATTAAAAATAATAGAAAAAGTAATACGAAACATAAATAAATAATTTAATAAATAAATAAGATAATGAAAATATAAATAATAATATGCGTCAGAAATTGTATACGGTAGATTATAATAACATACGTTATATCAGTGACGCGATGCAATAAAATCATTAATTCCGTAAATTACTGTTACAAATAACGTTTTTTCCTCCTTTTCCGTGCGACATATGATTATCCATCACTTTGCCAAGGATAAAAATCAGATTACATATTCTTTTGAGTCATTCTTTTGAGTACTGCTAATATGCAAATTATTTTGCTTTTTTACAACGTTAGATTAATGTCGGTATTAATATTTATTAACTCATCTCGATAGGGATTTATTAAAAGCGTTTAGTGGAATATCCTATTTTAGACTGCATAACGAGTCATTTATTTCTATTAAGATTGAATTGTATTTATTATGATCGAATGAACGAAATCGATTGATTGAAATTTATTGAATTTTTATCACATTTTCTCAAAAAATATTTATTTTTATAATTTTGTCGTTCTTTTAATCAATCATCAAAAGTTACGTGTTTTATTATTTTTATTGAAAAAAGATTATTTCTGGGTTTTTAATAATTATAATATGAAATTCATTCGAATTGAAGAAGAATATAAATGAAGTTCATCTTTATACATTAATATTAAACCGAATAATTATTTCTTCACATTTCAAATAAGAAACGTCATCAGGTACTCACATTTTACAGAGTAACATACATATCGATATATGAAAATGTATGAAATTTGCTGGCAAATACCTACTGTTGATTATAATTGCCGAAGATACCTACAGACTGTACGATGGAGTTGTTATCCGTTAAGGAAATCCCGTTAGAATGACGTAGGCAAAAGATAGGCAAGGTACGGGAAAGCAAAAAATGGAGCAAATCCGTCGTAATTTTAATTTCGCCAAAAACATTGATTTTTATAACGATGTCATCTCAAATATTCGGTTTTTTTTTTGCAACACCGACGTAGGCACCTTTTAACGTTCACCAACGACATCTCACAACCCCTCTCTTGCCGCTCTCTCTTCGCGAGATTGTATCTTATCCAGCACAAGTGACGAAGCATGTCGCAATGCCGTATATACAATTAAATTCCGGTTGCATCAATGCATCAGTGATGCAATTTTAAAAGTTTTCAATCCGTTCGTAAAATAGTTAAACTTTTTATTACAAATTGAATTGTTGAAATTTATCGAAAAACTATATAAACTTTTTTTTAATCTCTCTTGTCCTATTTTTCTTATAATTAAATCTAATAAAAATAACACCCCAAAGTTCCTCGTAATTAAGAAAACTGGATTAAGAACTGGATTAAAAATTGCCATGCGTCTCAGAATAATAATTTATTCCATTCTTTTTAGATAAGATCCAGGTAGATAATCGTGAAATGGCAGCCGCTCTAATTTTTCTTGAAACGAGCAAAATTGTATACGATACTGAGAGAATGTCCGACATCTTTGCCGAGGAGAGATAAACATCTAATTAACAAACAGAGATACAAGGGAGATGCTTGATGGAAAACGAGGACCCGAGGATGTAGTCGGCCCTGGCTGAGAGAGATGATTCGTGACATCAGCGCGCTCACCAGCGGTCGCCATGACTACCAGCGATCATCTTCCACCAGCACCCAGCACCACCATCATCCCCCACCACCGCGACCACCACCGCGAGCGTAGCGAAGAGCATCCCCCTCCACGTTAGTCGATTTCAGTTGATTCCAGACCGACGAAGGAAGGTTATCGCACGCGCGTCTCGGGCGGTGTGTTTGTGCGTCGCGTCGCCTTCATGTCTCGGCCGCGTTATCGTCGTCTTCGCTGTCACCTAGACTCGCGAGACCTCGTCGGGTAAAGCGGCGCGCGGCCGCGTGAAAAGAAAAGGGACGAAAGAAAAAAAAAAAAGAAACCGCGAGATCTCCGACACGCGTTCGGCCGCGACGCCGAATTCTCCGGTCGCGCCCCGATACTCCCTCTCACGCTCAATAATGAGGGACATGGCAGGTAAGATCGCCGAGTTGAAGTTCGAGGCACCCCTCGCGCGTTTCGAGGAAGAGGACACCGCTAGCCTGAAGAACATGAACCTTCTGACAGGTGCGAAACAAACCACCTTGTTATTCTTTTCCCTTCCCCTCCTTCTTCCTTTTATGCGTTGTCTGACGTGGGAGTTGTATTTCGCATGGTGTTCTGTTTGGCTGTGTGTCAACCTTTTCAAATCCGTCGTTTGTGCGAGAAAATTCTCTCGAGTTTACAGACACACCGCGACACGTTGCTCCAATTTGTTATTCACGTTAACCGGCGTAAAACAACGACGTCACGCTTGAAATATCTACGAAGATAACACGCTTTTAAAAGTGTTATATAATTGATAGAATATTGAGTTTTTTTCCTTAAAAGGTTTTCAAGGTTTAAAAGGTTTCCGATACAAGAATTTCGATTATTAAAAGTTTAAAAAAATAAAAAGATAATTCTTAATTTTATGATAGATTCTCTAATTAAAGTAGTCATTCGTTATGTTGGATGTTACGAATTTCGCAGTTTCATGCAATCGAATCGGGAGAATTTCGGGCCTGGCTGCAACTGGGTTGCACTCGAACTTTTCTACCTGCGCAGAGAGAAACGAGGAGAGGCAACGAAAAAGCCAGATTTACTTAAGTTAGACCGGCCGGAGGGTCCTTACTTGTTCGAATTTATTTTCGTCGTTCGGTCGCATTGGCGCGGTCGAGAAATTGTCTCCGGTTAAGATTCTTCGCGGAAAGATTCCTTCGAGTCCATCCGAACTATTGTGTTTATTCACGAGTACAGCTATCCCTCGAATTTTCAACACGAGTCAGGTTCGCCGGACTCCATTAATTTTCATTCGCGATGCGACTGATTATCTGCGCTTCTTTCGAGATCATAATCATAAAAACGCTCTTTTCTCAATTATTGTCTCCAAAAAAACAAGAATGAAAAAATAAGAATTTTAATTATTAAAAATCTATTCAACTTGATTTATTTTAAAATCCAGATTACTAGCCGAACATCTTTTTGCCACAATTTGTTTTTTTCCACGTGATGATAGGATATTCCCGCGATCTAAATAATAATATATGAAACAGAAATTACGGATTTCTTGAATTTTTATTTTCTGTGTTATATGCGTCGTAGACTCAAGAAGAGGGATGTATGTAGGGTCGAGGGTTGAGCGATACTTTTATCAAAGCGACGACGAGCGGTGTCATGTCCGATAACGTTCGATATCGCGACGCCAGTCGTCGCGATCTCGGGGTCATCCTTGTGTTTCGTCAATATCGCAATAGCATACAGCCGATGCTAAATTTAGAGTTTACTTCGCAAACAGAATCGAGAGATGTAACTGATATTAACTGTCACTTATAATAAATAAATATGTATATATATCAAATAAAGCGATCAGACATACTAAATTATGATAATATGTGTAATCGATAATGATATTAATTTTAAAAATCGTTAATATTTAAAAAAATTGCTTCTCTTCGACTAAAGTTACGTTATTAATATTTTTCATCTTTTCCTTAGTTAAATGTTTATTAGTAAAAATAATAATATTAATTAAAGCATATTTTTCTTATTGATTCAAGTCTTACAAAAAATAATTATTTTATAAAAACTAATCATTTTAATGTATAAATAATTGAATTGACGCGAATTTATTCATAACATAATATATAATAATTTATAATATCAAATCTTTGGGAAATTAAACACTTATTCTCTTTTTCATGTTGCATAATAAATAATCGCATAATTTTTTATACATCTCTTGATTGTTTTTTAATACTGTAGAACAACTATTGGATGCCAGTCTGGATGCGAGTTTCGGCGAGAATTGCAACGCGAATGAACCACCAACGACACACGAAAATGGCACTGACATCCTCCAGGAAGGAACGTTCAGCCCGTTCAGCGGTAGCCTCGAGGATCTCGTCAACACCTTCGATGAAAAAATCACATCTTGCTTTCGCGATTATGGCACCGACGTGGAATCGCTGGCGCCGGTGCAGGTGCGAACGCAGGAGGAAATTATGAACGAGTGCCAGTAAGTATATTAATAATATGATATTTCAAGCGGGATATATATATATATATATATATATATATATATATATATATATATACCTGAAAGATGTCCTTTTAAGATAAAATTATTATTATGTAAATTACAACAAGGATGTATATCAGCGACTGTTTTTTAGAATTTTTCTTCGTATCGTTAAAAACGTTACTACTCCAATATCGCGTGCTTATCCCATTGGTCGTAATTATCTCAGTTAACCCTAATTAACCTGCACGTAAGTGGTCGCAGTAGTTGCAAGTCGTACGATATTCGGTTCATAGAGAAAACCCGATATTATATTGCAGTATACCGGTTTCCCCGCGAATCAGTAAAAGATAAATGACGATACATCGACGGGAGAGCACGCACGTCTGAAAATTGCCCGTAATGTAATGTACGTGCGTATATATTAACATTGACGTTTACATTTTGCGTACTCGATGGACTCTCTCGCTCGTTCGACAGCTCATCTGAAAGTGGTGATTTCACCATCGCGGAAATAATCACTTATCGCATTACCGTTTGCGCTCGTCGTAATACGCGTAACACGCAATGCGCAATAACGGGGAGCGAATATCTGTATCGAGGGGAAGTAGCATGATCCATACACTTCATCTTGCATCTCGATTATCTAGAAACACGACATCTCTCCTCCTCTTTCTTCCTCTCTCTCTTTCCTTCTGAAAAAACGCGACAGCAGTTTCACCTACTGTTCTATTTAACGCAATGCCGCAGTGAATGTAATACGGTGCAATTTAATTGTAGTATATAATTTCGCTGCTCGATCATTGTATCGGCGAGTAAAATGTTAAATGTCAAAATGTTTTTAATTGTCGTCACGAATTAGTTGAATTAAAGTTCAAGATAAGGCTTGTATAATTATAATAACATCAATATATTGAATTGTTTAGAAAAAAGAGGAATATTTAGATAATTAAATGCAACTTTTTAATCAATGATATATATGTGTGTATATATATTTGCCAAATTTTAGCCATTTATATATTGAATAATTTAAAAATCCCTCATTAATTAGTTCGTAAGCAGACTGATAGAGAATGTTTCGACCTTGCCGCTATTGTTGTATCAAAGAAAAGGAGGAACGAGAGAGAAGACAGAATTTCTTCTTCTACTCGCGAATCTGTCTGATGGCAGCCATCGATTTTCCAATGGAAGAAGTGTGTCGACACCGTTAATACTCTCTACGCGATGTTTACGGCACGCTTTGCAGCTTTCTCTCCGAAGTAGCCGTAGCGTCGCCGTTCCATATCAGGAGAAAGAAAGAGAGGGGAAGGGGCAGGGAAAGAAAGAGAGAGAGAGAGAGAGAGAGAGACTAAATGCATCTTAATTAAATGAATCCCTGTATTAACATTTCCCTTCTCTAATTAATTCACTATCGAGTTTGATTAGTGCCAATTATATTTTTTATGTTATTTCGAAAAAGAATAAATAAAATGTGCTATGGATTACGTTTTTTTTTTTGAGGAAAGTAAAAAAACTGATTGATTACTTGTAAATCAAAATGTTGAAAAATATATTTGATGGTATATTGCAAGATTTAAAGACGTTTAGATGTATTTAATTAAAAGAATTTTAGTAGAAATATTTGTTTTTCTAAACGCATTGATCTTTTCACAATTTTCAACTAATTTTTACCAGTTACTCTATGTATATATAATGAACCTGACAAGATTCACAAGTACATCTCCTAACAAGGTACGACGAGATCTTTCGTAGTGACCTTGCCGGATCTCTTACTCAAACGTGCTGACGTAAGCGTGACTCGAGTTGTTAAACTAGACTCTAGGCTAGAAATTTTCTTAGGACATAACATAATAAAAATTCGTGGCATAATAAAAAAATGAGCGATTACTTTTTTGAATTTATACAGTTTCGTAAACACGAAATAAATTTTATTCATTAAAATTAAATTTTGAATCATGGACACACAAAGCTCCGCGAATAAATCAAAAGAAAGAATTTTGACTATTTTGCCATACATGCTTTCAAGCTTATAGACAATTTTACGGATTGTTAATTATCGAAGGGTGGTTCAAGATTCACAATCCGACAAGCGACCCGGCCAAATATTTTCATCATAGGGTGTAAATTACAGTCGCGACGCATTCACCGACAGGACAAGGTTGCACGTCCTAACGAGCATAACCGAGCAGCAGGTGAAATTCAACGAAGCGCAAAATTGTCTCTTCGTCTGTGCGCAACCACGCACAAAGCCGTTAAATTTATTTTACATTGGATTATTTGCCTCATCATCTCTTTTCACAAACGCGATTTTCGTTCGTTAATTTCTTATACATCCTTTGACAGGTGCAAGATGGTCTTCCTGCACATCTTGATATCTTCATGCAATTTTTGTCAAATTTGAATTTTTATCGATGAAACAATATATTGCGTATATTTTTCTGTTTTTGAAAAAAAACATTTTGAGTATTCAAACAAACATAAGTCAAAAAATATATAATTTTTTAATTCAAACGCGTATCGAAAGATATGCAAAATGAGCATGAAAAGAGAAATATTACAAATAAAAAAAATATAAGAAAAAGGACATACAATTAAAATAAACTACATAGCTATAACAAACAAACAAACTGCCAAGTTTTTTCTCCCTCCAGAGGTCCACTTCTATGATTCATGTCTTTCTTGGAACGACCGATTCAAATGTGCCATCGACCGATACCGTTTTATATATGACATTATTAAAGGGCACTCGGGAGGTGAAAGGAGGGGGGTGGCAATATCCAAATGGCACGGTCTCTCTATTCCGATGACTAATAAGGTCATCGACTCCATCGAGGTCCATCACGCGACAAAGCCGCGGTAGCGATGCGAGTCCATGCGTTCGCAAAGCTCATCTGCGTTTCCGCTGCGATACATCCGTATCGAGTTTTTCCGTCGTCGCGATCTAACGCGTTTGAAACGCAATTCTACATTCATTCCCATTCGTGATTTCACATTTGCGTTTTCTAGCACGAGGCCGAGCACGACACCCAGATATATCCAAGTCACACCGGAAACGGATATCAAACGGTGATTGATACAATTCCTTTCCCTCGATCTGCATTTGACATTTTATCACGTGGCTTGACTCTTATATTCTTCAAAAATTTCACGGATATATTTAGATGTCAAAAGTAAAGACGTTTAATAATCAGATTCGAGTTTTTTAGTTTAATTCGAATTATTTTCGAGGGAAAAAGCATAACCAGACGAGAAAGCGTTAATGTCTAGTTATGCAATGTAATGTTTAGTATAAATGATATAACACAAATTATTGTTACGTGGCTAGTATACAAAGAAAGAGAGAGAGAGAGGGGGGGACTAATATATACTTTTTCCTAGAATTGAATTACTCGCCAAACTTTCCATTTGCTTTAAGCGCTTTTAATGTATATATTTGGAAGTAAATAATTTCTTTTCGATGTTTTGATATTGATGAAACGCGTGGCATGAAAATTTAATCTCTGTTTTGCTCCTTCGTTCGTATATCGAGCCATACACCACCCCTTGAACAGAGGGCGAACGTCAATATTGGCGCGCATGCGCCTCAGATAACGGCAATCTAGGGTGCTTTGCAGGGGTGAATTGATATGAAAGCGCTAGAGAGATGAAACGAATCGTTTCCTTTTAATTAAAGAAGAATTTATATTATTTTAAATTTCCCTCTTAACACAAATCTTGTAGAAAGCAAGCAGATTTAAAAGAATTTATTAAGAACTGTTCATGGAAAAATATGAAATCCTGTTTTTTGAGAATTAATGATTAAACTTTATGATTTTTGAGTTTTTTCTTATCTGTTTTTAATTTTTGTATATATCTATTGCAATTTTTACAAGCGTGCTAAAATTAAAAAATAAATTAACTCAGTGTCATATAAAGCTTCATATACGTTGTCATGAAATGCGCTTGACGATTTGATGTGAACAATGTGTGCGTTGGAGATGAGGCCACTTTACATTAATCGGAAACTCAAGTAGACTGGGTTGACCTCAATTTATTAACTCACGACATCGAATGGTCGATCAATGTGCGTTGGCTTTCACTCTGATTCATCGCAATCATTTCTTTCTTTGTTTCTATTTCGGCAAGCATAAACACATATGCGAATTTTGGACAGAGAATAGATATTTAAAGATCAAAATATCTAATTTCTTCAATGCATGTTATAAATTTTAGTCATATTATTCTATTTAAAGTCTGGTATCTTTTCAAAGAAGAAAAATTGAAAGCTTTCATATATTTTCATGTATTTTAAATTCAAAAGATTAACGAACCGATTTAACATTTTTTTAAATGTTGAATAATACATATCAAAAGAAATCGCGATCCTTTCAGTAAACATTAATTGAATTGAATACCCGATAAAGAAACTTTAAGAAACATTTGTGAAACTTCAGCATTTGAAATTAGTGAAATTGAACTGTTTGTTTAAGACAAAGCTCAGTCACTTTCAAAACACATGGCTCATATTATTCATCAACCGTGAAAAGAAAGGACATTTATGAGGGACAGAAAGAGTTAGGAGAGAGAAGTATTTTGGTTTAAAAGAACATTATATCATGCAGATTTGGATGCCATTTTGTGTCGACTCCCACGATTACATTGTACGCAAATTCGCGCCGCGAGAAGCTACTTTGTTCCGGTGTGTTAGTTCCCCGCGTGAAGAATCACTTCCCTTCAGTAAACGACACGTTACTTGCCGTAGCATCATTGACTTACGTTTTGTTTGCACGTGATTAAATGTCTTATCTATTCAGCGCATACGTAACGCAGGAAACACCCACAGTCTCCTCTCATGATTCATTATTTGGCGTCCTAGAAAACGGGAAATTTACGGACAGTCTGTTGCTCTCACGACAGCTGTATAAAAGATGTCTTAAGTATATCCTAAATGGAGGTATTCTCACGAAAATTATGTAGATATTAAAATTAGGTAAAACATATATTAAGAGAGAAACACATATTAAGAAAGACGAAGATTTCGTGAGAAGAAAAAAAGGAGAGAGAGTCTGTCTCGGGAGTTATACGTAAAGAATGTCTCCGGTATATGTTTTTACATGATGGAACATATTATATGAAGCGACTTAATAATACTACTACATTATACCATTCTCGTGGGAGCATCTGCATTTATTGATCGTGTATCAGACGTCACGCTCTTGTAACAAACACGTTTGTAAATTGCGTGTCCTTGACGCTAAAATTATGATGAGATACATTTTCTCATTAACCTTTAGGTGGCTGGAATTGTTTGTAACATCTCTATAAGCAAGTGCTTTCATTGGTCACCATTGTACATAGATATTTTGGTAAAGAAATTTAAGGTATTATATGGAAAAAGATCAAAATAGAATGTGAAGATTAAAACACGGTGAATGAGCTGTTTTAAGATAATAATGAGACAGCATTATGCGACATTCCGCAAATCAATTAAAATTGTATAAAGCACAAGACGATTTTCTACATTGATTGCTTATTTTCGTTGCAAGAAAAAATAACATATTTCAAAGAACATTTTTTGCTAAAGATAAAAAAATACGATGATTCTAACATAATATTGAATCATTCGAGCGAACAAATCCAATGACACACGAGTTTAAGACGTATTCGTTTCCGTGAGGATACTATAGATTGGAGGATATGAATCATGCGAAGAGGCTTCGCATCTGTTTACATTAATACATATTTGAATGACGTAAGAGAAGAGCGACTGTGTTAAGATTGAATAAGTCTTTAGCAAGCACCACGAAGTCTTTTAAGCATTATTAACGTATATATATTTGATTTTTTTTTAAGGATGTGGTGGACGATCACGGGAACTTTTGGAAATATATTACCGATCGACTGGAGCAAATCTTATGCGAGAAAAATGCACATGCCCGCGTTGAATCTGAATGAAGCACCCGCTTCGACGGAGAGGTAGCTACTTTTCGGCTTTACATATACGCAGTTTAATTATTTTCATCAAAGATTTTACTTTGCAGCGACTATGCATCTTTTTACGCATTAAATTTTTATCGAAATTACTTTTTCAATGAATTCACTTTGTTTCTTTATTTAAATCAGTGTTAGGGGTGCTGGTCAATTCAATGCTTTCGTTTTTTTTTGTTCGCTGTAGACCGGAACTAGAGGATTTAAGTAGCGAAGACGAGGCAGTTGCGACAGATTTGGATATGCATGCTTTAATCTTATCTAGCAGTACTGATACTCACAGTCCGGAGGAGCCTCTCAAGACCGCCGAGGAGGTTCTTCGCGAGATAGATGACATAATGCAGGTAATCTCTTCAGTGCTGATGTATACTCATATAGTAGTAACTAGTGATTTGCATTAATAATGCATTTTTTGTTACCGTAGGAAAGTCCGTCAATGGAAAGATCGCCAGATTCCGAAGGTTCCATGTTAGATAGTGACGAGGCTTTGGAAAGAAGTAGAGAAGTACTTGGATCACCGCTTCACGAGAAAAGTATGTATTGAAAAGCTCTTTTTCTTTTAAAGAAAAATATCAATAACAAATATAAATTTAATTTTTTTCTAAAATAAAAATCTGTGTTAAAGAGTCGAATGTGTTTTTAGAATTGAAGCAACTCTCCTCCAGTCAACTGACTGAACTTTTTGGCGAGATGGAATCCTTAGTTGCGGCCTTGAGCGAAACGCTAATCGCTGAGCTCGCACTTAGGGATGAATTAGAATATGAGAAGGAACTTAAGAACCAGTTCATCTCTTTACTGTTGGCTGTGCAAAATCGACGTAGGCAGCATCATGTTACGAAGAAACGAAATCAAATGCAGAATGGTACTAGTCCGTTACCACAACATAGGTCTTTGCAAGAGCCAAAGGTAACTTATACCATCGTGTCGAATTGCGCATTTACATAATATATTTTACATTATATATATATATATATATATATATATATATATATGTGGGGGGGAGGGATGTAAAAAATCTAATTTTCAATAAAAAAAAATAATCTTTAATATAATTTAATTGTAATTTGGAAGAATAATAAAGTAACATAATTCTAATTTAATACTATTTTTGTTCTAGTACCTGACGACTGTTATTCCATATCATACAGATAGCGGCCCGCCAGACAATCAAGCCTTGCAAGTACTTATTAAAAGTAAGTAGTCGTCAATTCTTAATCATCATGTATGTCTCATTATATATGCCAATAATATATTTATATATGTCAATAATTTATTTGTAGTATTAAAGGCCATTAGCGAGGATAGTCCAACAGTACCCACCTTGCTAACAGATTATATACTTAAAGGTACTCCTGAATTTAATTTAATTTTATTGAATGTCATTTACGTGTGAGAATTTTAATAATTTTTTCATTCAGAAATAATCTTAACGTATATTGTCAATTTATAAATATGTTAGATATAAATATTTAAGAAATATTTATATACAATTAATATATTTTTTCGATAGTGTTATGTCCAACTTAAAAAAGGATACACCAAAAGAAAAGTATAAAAGGAGCGTCAGAAAAATATCACGTGCTCTCTTCTTGCCAGTACGCTTTCAGCCGTCATTGTGCCGCATGTTACTGCATAATTAGCTTATAAGTTATATTTCGGTCACACTCGATTACTGTATTGGCTGTAGAAGTAAAGTCTCCGATATTCTATCTAGTCTTAATTTATATATTATGATATGTACATTACTTGCTTAAGGTATCGTAAGTATATTTTTAATAACTCGCGTAACATACATATGTTACTGATTCGCGTAAATCGTGTGTTATTCTTACAGTTTTCATATTTATATTGTATCATGACTCATATCAATTCAGTTTTATATTTTTTTCTTGTACATAAGAATCTCGAGAAAAGGCTTTCTTATATGCAAAGCCATCGCAAAGGCAGCACAGAGCTCCTTATTTAAGATTGTACGAATTGCTATTTGTGTAGATCAGTTTCTACTTAAGGAATTCGAATGTGTATATTGTTGTAATACTAGCTCTAGTATAGCTTAGAGATATACTCTTCATTCACCGGTATGTCACGCGCAAAAAAAGATGTTAACAAATCTTACAGTCAGTTAAATTACTCGCCCCCACCATACGATAATATAATTGTTCTCACGCAATGCAAATGCTCGAGACACGTGTTCGTTAAAGCGAAAAATAAATTCAACGACTTCACTCTCTCAAATTTCATCATCTAATAATTTATTATAACTGCTCCATTATTTGTATCCCTATATCTTAATCCTTTCATCATCTATATCTTCTTTGAATATATGGCACAAATATATACTTTATACTGCATTATACGTGACATATACGTCGCAAAAAAATATACTTTAATATTAGAAAACATTTGATATTATCAAATATACAATTAAAGATGATCATCTTATAAATTTAAAGATCAACAAATCAGTCTTTGACAATATCATGTAGGACATTGCGGAGCTAAATAGCTTGGTTGATAGCAACAGTTTGGACTGCGACGATACCACTTGTCCGTCTAAAATATGATACATTATGATGCATGTATGTTTTAGAATGCAATTAAAAATTTGTATATAATTATGTATATTATAATTTTGTTATTATATTTTAAATCCGTAATAAAAACCATTGACTTGCTTTAACAAAACGATTGAATTCATTCAGAAATTATATATATATATATATATATATATATATATATATATATATATATACACATACGCCTTGCCGGATGTAACTGCGACCAGGTGTAAATTGCGCTATATCTGATTTGAACTTATTAATATCAAAGAATTTCATAACCGTGACAGTCGAAGAATGAGTAATGAGAGGTCTGTTTACAGGAAATGTCCACGCGGGTTTATATTTATCGGGGCTAGGCTTAACGTACCACGCGTTAGGATCATATCTGGGATCATATTTAACACACATTGCTGGTTTTCTTTTTTTGCGTCTGAAATTATAATTAATACCCGTTTTTTTATTTCTTTTCTCAGTTCTAATAGTAGTTGCGATGAATTTTTCTTGATTTGTTTCAATGAATTGCGTGCTCATATTCTCACAAAGAATCCATTTCCGCAAAGAGACACTTTAAGCGTCGCAGCTCTTGACCAGAATTACATATTCTGTTAGAGAAACCCCAATTTCCAAGCGCTTCTGCTACACCGATGCCATGGCCTCTGGAAAACTCGTATTTACATGGTATCATCGATACAGCCATTCTTATTATCTAAGGACTTGTTAATTTTGCAAAAATACCAAACACTGCTCGACACAGAGGAAAATAGATTTATTTGACGTTTCGTCTGTGTGAAGTTTGCTCTGACATGCACTCTTTTCAAACTTTTTTTTTTAAACAATCGCAAAGAGTTTTCTTAAAGTGCATTATTATATTTCACGCGAGCCAAATATAAATTTGACACGCGACAACTAAATAAAAGTTGCACTGTTTCTTACAATAAATGTACTTTTATTTTAATCTAACAGTAATAACATAATGCGAAAAGAATGTATGTATATTTATATAGTATGTAATATATATGTATATGTATATATACATATAACACATATATAGTATATTCAAATGAAACATAGATTTAATTTTTATAGAACAACGATTTACTCCATGTTTAATTGAATATATCATATATATTACATATATGTATATGTAAATGTATATTATTTATACATATACATATTTATATATGATTTATATATATGATTTATACATATACATATTTATATATGATAAATTTATATCTAAATGATTTTTTTCTAATAGTAAAATAGTCAATCTTTTTGTGGTGGTTTAGTATTTATATCTTAAATCTAAAGAATATCGTGCATTGACGTAGAATGTCGTATCAGAAGTACACAATTTTTGTATGACATCAGCTGTTTGTATGATTATTCATCATTATCCACACAAATATCAATCACTTCCATTCTTTAACACATATTTCAGACTCACGATTAATAGTACTTGCACACTGAAATTATAAAATATTTAATGAAGATAATTACGATGCACTAATATATATAATATATATTGATCATCATATTTTTTAACACGTGCTTACCATCATTTATTGTATTTTTCCTTCAATATAAGCTTTTATAGCAGTCTGGCACTCTACGGAACACCAATGCTGAATCAACAAATATGTTTCTGATTCAAGCGCGGCGTCTAACTTTTTCCGTAGACTGTGGCGTAATAGAGCCTTTGTTGCTTCCATGGACTAGAAATGAAGAGATTTTAATAAAAACATATATAATTAATAAAAAAAAATTGCAATAGCATAAACATGTAAATATATCTTTATAATATCCTATAGGAATGCTGCTTTTTCTCAATTATATACATATATAAGCGTATTCTCATAGTTAAAATATGCTTTTTCTCAATTATGTACATATATAAGCATATTCTTATAGTTAAAATATGCATGTATGCATTAAAGAGTGGATTTCTTTCCAACATGTTGATTTATCACGCGTTATAGCACCTTTGTATCTCACAATTGAAGCGGAGACAACCGCATGATGTCATAAATATTAACAAGTTTCGTAATTACGAGTCATGTGGGAGCAAACGTGGAATCGAGAATGTATTAGCATTATCGCCATTTGTGTTAATATAAATGTGCCGATCGCGACACTCGAATCTAGCGCTTATTCAAGAGTACACACGTCGTTGTGCAAATATGTTTGTGAAAATCCACCTCTTTATTTCGATAATAGGTGCAAGTGTCGGTGTATATACAACAATCAGCAGTAAGGCTAACAATGTTACATTCAAGTATATGAAGGGAGTTCGTATATACAAATCTGTATCACGTAAATATTACTGAATAGCTTTCAAAAATGTATGATATTTCTCATGACAAATCTTTATTCTATTTGTCGAAGCAGATTGAAGGGGAGAGTGATTTACATCAATGTAAACCTTACGAGGTATGTAACGTAATTCACGACCGATTTTGGATGTCCGGCTTGACAGAGAGACTTTGTCGTTGTCCTCATGGACAAGAATGTCCTTGGCAATGGACGAAAATCATTGATAATTCATCCTTATCACTTAATAACAAATCAATTCTAAAGGTACAAAAATATCAAGCTAAAAATATTTTTATAATTGATATTTTTAATAATAACATTTTTCTCTCCCATTATTAGTTTTGTACACAAATAATGGAAGAATTAGAGATTTGCGCGCATAGACAAGAGGCAGTGATAGTGTTTGGAGAAAGTGATTTAAGTAACACCTATATAATACCATATAATGTAACAATAAATTGCATATGTCCCCAAACACATTATTGGAAGCTACAAAAATATACGTATGAAGAATATGGTCTCACTCAAGTATTCAAATGTGTCAAGGTACATCGTATAGTAATATGCAGCAAGAGAGAGAATTTCGCATTTTATAAGATAATAATTTATATCTCTATTATACTTTATTATATCTGCATAATTTAAAAAATCTCTTGTTATATTAAATTATACAGCATCATAATTACTAGCACTTCTTATGTAAAAGAAAAAAAAATTAAGCCATGCAATGATATGACTTAATTTAATATTTTTTAATTTATTAATTTTCCTCAACATGTTTATTTATTGAATATTTTTAATGCACAGAAAAGAAGGTGTGAGACGTTGGACTTTTGCGGCTACATACGATCTGATCTGTATTCGACGTATTATAGATGCACATGCCCAGAAAAGCATATATGCATTTTCGAGGATCAGACACAAGTAAATATACAGGAATTGCTCTATTCTGGACCAGCTTACATGGCTTACTGTCATCGTTTGTAGAGATACAAAGGTATTACGTTACGATTTAATGAATCTGAGAGAAATTGTTAAATGTGTAATTAAATATAATGTATAAATTATATAATATACACACGAAATATATATTTCAGAAACTTGTTATTAAAATTACAATGTCAAAAGATAATATTACATGCAACTTACCTGTGACGATTGATCACTCATAGCTCGCAATGATGGTAATAATTCTACTTGAAACCGATCAGGCCATAAAACTCGAGTAACAAGACCAGCTCTTAACGCTTCGCTCGCCGTTAAGGTCCTTCCACCCAAAAGAAGTTCGCTCGTCTATCAAAATGTAGATACGCTTTGTTTTCCCTTCTTTTTTTCATGTTTACAAAAACTGCTTAAAACTTACAATTGCACTGCCCAGTATGTGTGAAAGGGTAAAGACCGCAGCTCCTTCAGCGATTTGTCCTAATTTCCCATAAGGGGTACAAAATGTCGCTTTATCGCTAGCAATTACAAGATCGAAGAGAGGCAACATTGTCACTCCGAGTCCAATCGCAGCGCCTTGTACACCAGCTACTATAGGTTTATTAAAAGTAGCCAAACTTTTAATAAAGTCCCTTGAAACAAGAAACAAAAGTTTTGATAAATTACAATAAAATCGGCGATCGTGATTTTTAGTATTAAAAATACATACTTGACAGCGTGTGCCAATTCCTGTGCGACAGATCGGCGTTCTTCTTTATTTGTATGCAATAATTCCGAAAGGTCGAGGCCTTCGCAGAAACTTGTTCCTGTAGAGGTAAACAGTACTACCCTACATTCGTCGTCTCTTTTCAGTATCGATAGGGCCTCTCTGAATTCTTGCATCACCTAATATAGGATTGAAAATAATATTTAATAATTTAAAGAAATGTTCTAAGAGCATGATGAAAGAGAAAATATGCATCTATAAGCTTACTTACCTGCAATGTAAGAGCATTCCTGATTTTCGTCGAAGAGGATGGCGTAAGTATTAATTGTACGAGATTACCGTGCCGACGTACGTTTATTTCTTTATTGCTAAATTGACCTTGCGTTTCCACTTTTGTTTTACTATCCAAGTCCATTTTACTTGCATTCACTGGAATATCGTATCGTGTGTATTATTATATAATTCATATAATTCATTAAATTATATATTTTGAATATAATATATATTTGAATATATTTTTGTTAGAAAAAAGTAAACAAATCGATTATAATTTTTGTTTTTTAAGAAAAAAGAAAATACTATTGTGGAGATATAGAAATTTCTACCTTTGCTTTTTCGTGTAGTAGTAACATTTCCAGATCGACCACCAGCATTGACGATCGAAAGAGCGGTAGCCGCTTCAGCAAGACAAGCGGATAATTCATCCTCCTCTTTAGAAGAATTTTCAGTATTATCCGGATCACCTGTTCTAATAAAAGTCACTTTGCTTTTCATGGCACGCCTGCTCTTCGCCGTTATCTTCCCCGTTACTGCGCCATTCGAGGACCTGGTCGTAACTTTGCTCGAAACATTGTCTTCAAACGCGTGAACATTGTCCTGTTGTTTACCAATCTTGTCGAGCTTTTTGATTTCCGACTTCTTATTGGGACGCGCAGCAACAGTGATTTTTTCATCCGCATTATGAATAGTATTACTAGTAGTCGTGGTAGTTGTGGTAGTAGTACTAATGGTACCAGTAGTAACAGCGGTAACAGATTCTGTATCAAACTTTTGTATTGTTTTTTTCTTGCTCTTCTTCGCGTTAATAATTTTCTCGTCTTGCGAGTCTCGTCTCTTCTTGGCAGATCTCAAAGAGTGAACTGCTCCGTCGTCCGTCTTGGCAACTTCCGTTGGTTTCTCCGGTGCGTCGACGCTAACTCTGGGACTTCCGGACGCGCTCGAGAACGAACTAGATGAGTGCCTCCTGATAATGATGGACGCGTCGGCTGCGTTTCTAATCTTTGCTGGAAGTATGAATTCCGTAGGCGAGGCAGCGGTTTTCGGAGACGTGATCTGCTCTCCTACCTTTCTGTCCGCTTGAACATCAGTCAAAATCGCCGCTCTCTTCGATCTTGGTGACACTTTTGTGACACCGGCGATTGTCGACGTGCGTAATCGCAATACAGCGTTGCGAACCAATTTCTTTCTGATTTTGAGTTCGCGCTGAACCTTCTGTAGGTCCATGACCTTCGCGCGCGACTTCGTGATGGGAACCAGGCGTTTTTTATCTGGTTGCTCTACATCGTATAGTAAATTGACGACTCCCTCGTCTTGCAATAACCGGTCTATCTCGTTTATAATCTTCTTCTTGGGTTTTGCATCGCCAGAAGCACTCTCGGTCGTTCGCTTCTGCGACTTGGAGACAGTCTTCGGGGGAGATTTCTTTGGCGAAGGAGTCAATTTACCTTTCAATCGAACGGACTTTTCATTAGCCGGCATCTTCTGGCGTAGCAATCTCTTCACCACCATCTTTCTCTTGGCGATAGGTTGCGAGCCTTTCCTAACAAGACTCGGTTTCGGCCGAGAACTTTCGATTTTACTCGAACTCAGATCCATTTTACCCTCGACCTGTTTACTTGTTACTTCTTTCGCGACGATTTTTTCATTATTTACAGTATCCGTCAGTTCGTCGCTCGTCACAACGTGATTCTCCATCGTCGTGTTCTCCTCGGAGATGTTCTCCTGCGCTTGCTTCTTATTCAACGAAACCTTACCCTTGTACACCTTCTGCCGCTTTATCGTATTCTGCTCGTGTTCCCTTGCTTTTTCGGTAGGTTTTCGCTTCCTACCCGATCTCGATTCTTCTCGTGTAACTATTTTTTCAATTCCGTGATCTTTTTGATTGCTTTTTTGCGGTGAACACAGGTTTATCTCGACAGGTTTGGTATTTGGTTGCGCATTCTCGCTTGCCGAATCCATACCGACAAGTTCCTTCTCCTTCTGTGCGGCGAGTGGAATTTCCACATCCTTAGACATTTTGCCGGGTGCCGCACGGAAAGTTTTCTTCTTCCGCGGTGAAATCTTCTTGGGTGACGTTACGGGCAACTCGAGGAGTTGCTTCAGCGCCAATTCCCGTTCGACTAATGGATCGAGTTTTGGTGGTGCACTATGATTCGATTGCGATTCGACGTTCGGCGGCGTTTTGCCTTCTTCCGTGAGAGTCGGAGGCTTCAAGATGGACCAATCGGGATCAACGTCACCTTCTAAAATTGCCAACAGTTCCTTATTGTCGGAATTGCCATCTTTACTTGTTTCCGCTGGCGCATTTGTTATCTTCTTATCACAGTTATCCACCGTCGATTGTGAAGGTGTAGAAGAAGGGGTGGTTTGTTGTGGCAGAGGGATAAGTCCTGGTACCGGATTCACTGAGCTACCCGCTAATTTGTTGGACAGTCTTTGCGTTAATTTCTTCACGAAGAATATGTCTGGTCCACGTGGTGTGTCCACCACCGTCTTCTGCTTCTCGCGAAGACGTTCCTTCAATACCTCCGTTACTTCCGCTGGTGATGCTATCTGACTTGTTAAATGCCGAGAACGATTCTTAGGAAGCGATGTGGCGATGTGCGATGTCTTGTTAAACGCACGCGTTTCTACGTTTTGAGGAGATTTGCTCGCTGGAGAATTTTTCTCGCTCCTATTTAATGGCACTGCATCTTGATTGATCTCTTTATTTTTTTTTTTATTTTCCGTTTGTTCAGAATCTTTGATATTCTTCTCGCTTGTATCTACATTATGTATCTCATCTGTGGCACATTCTTTGTTTGAGAATGGAGTTTTATCCGGAAGAGTTTCACTTATAACAATCTGATCTGATTTCGTTTCGTCTAATAGACTCTTCAATTCGATCTCTACAGTATCGTGCACTTTCGAAGTCGATTGCGCATCTTCGTCTGTATTCTCGACACCCCAATCGTCAAAAATATCTTGAATAACGCTCCTCTTCTTCACAGACGATTCTACTAGGGGTATTTCGCAAGGAGGTGTATTATTTTGTTTATGCTCAGTAATATCTTCAATATCTTCATGGGTATTTTCAATTTGTGACAGATTTGTTGTAACTTCTGAATCAACGTCTTCTGTGATTATAATTTTCTCATCTATGATAATAGTGATATCATCTTTATTACTAGAACTGATCAGAGTTTCCCCATCAATTGGCTCTAATTGGATATTTTCATCACTTATATCTTTGTGATCGTCAATTCTTTCGGTTAATTTTACAGATTCTATATGACATTCATTATTCTCTGCGCAGTTCTTATTATCCTGTTGCTCATACTGTTCTGTAACTGGAGCATCTATAACTTCTGTTACTTCTATTATAGTATCATCATTTTCTTGGCTGTAATCAATTAGATCAATCTCATTGTCTTCATGCCTGGATTTTGTAGTTTCTTTTTCCTGCAAAGTAACTATAGTCTCTTGATTGCACTCTTTGTTAACGTCTTTTTCGTCTAAAGTGACAATAAAATTGTCTGCTGCTGCATCTGTTGTTGCTGGTTCTATAGTTTCTACTACTACAACTACCTCCGTCTCTTCTTGTACTAATTTAGTCAGTTCAGCATCCGTTACTATTGAGCTATTTTGGTTACTGTCATTATCATGTATTTCTCTGATTGTTTCTTTAACTGATTCATGCGCATCATGAATCTGGCCCCCAGAATGTTCGCTAAGTCTAGATTCGTCTAGTATTAAACACTGTTTATCTATACTATCAGACTGATTTGCATCTCCTACTACATTACAATCACTTTCTAAAGTATCTATTGTTTCCTGTGTTGCTTCTACTACTTTAGATTCAGTTATCACATTTTGACTTTGGTCTTCCTCAGTGCACAAGTGTTGCAATTCATGATTCGAATCTATTGTCTCATCTTTTATATGTTCATAGATTTTAATCTGTTCCTGTTCTGACGTATAAACTTTTGTTTCAGACTTGTTCAACTCAGATTTTACCTGATTATTATACCCAGCATCACTGTCAATATCTTTAACGGATACCTCGATATGGCTTGCGTCCAAGTAATCTTCTGCTGCGACTTCTGCTTTGATATCGATATCATCTGCTAACGTAGATTCCGTAGACACTGGCCTGCAGGCTTTTGGCGAATCTTGGCTACCTTCTGTAGAGGTAGCGGCTTTTAAATTCTCATCAACATGAATCGTTTGCACATTGATATCTGTTGGTATCTCTTCAACCTGAAGAATTTGCATCTGCACCCTGTCTGACTGTTCCATGGTAAAGTACCAAGATACTCCAAATTTATTACTAAATCATACAGAGTTTCCCTGTTTAGCAACAAAAAGAAAAATTATAATAATATCACGATAAATTTAATTAGTATTAATTCATTTAGTATTAATGTCCAGACATGATAAAGTGTACGGTATTTATAAAAACTGCCATAACCTAATAAGCGATATATTCATCGCAGATGCCGGCGAATATATCAGCCACGTTGTTCGTACAATCAAAATTCTTTAAGAGCAACAACTACCCCGAAAATCCTCGAACGAAACGTAGACTACAATATCTAAGAATTCTAAAAATTCCCGCACGATCCAACATAACTTTCAATAGCGGCAATCGAGACGATGGTACACACACGGGGGGGGGCAAAGTTGCGGAGACGAAATCGCGTTATCACGAGCGGCAGCAAATATCTAGTACCGCGACTACGTAATCGATAAGGACGCTCGATAATTGTCCGCGAATTGATATTCCTCAAAAGGCGAAAATCACAAAGGGACGGTCTAATGGCAGAGCGCGAGTAAGCTCACCGTGTAACGGAGATGTGCCCATACTTTTCGTGTATTCGCGATGTGAGAGAGAATCACATGATACACCACCGGTCTCGGTTCGTTGAAGCGCGCGACCGCCGTAAGACTCGCGCCCGCTCCTCGCACACGCTGATCGATCTCGTGAGGGGGGAGGAGAAGGAGGAGGGAAAAAAAACAATTATTTCACGATTCCAAACACCATGTTTACAAGAACGAAATCGGAACCACACGCACTACGGACGTCAACCTAGGCACTTATCTCTTCGTCGAGTATGTGTGCATGTGTGTGTGTCTGGTGCGTGTGTGTGCGTCGACCTCGCGTTCTCGGAACCTGCGTAGCGTTTCGCGTTATCGCTCGTGGAAGACGATGTGGTCACATCTCCCTGTTTTTGCGACGCGCTCGTACGGTTAATTGAATGACACTGGAAACGAATATATATATATTTATATATATATATATGTATATATCTCGGCCACGCCGTTCGCGCGACTCACCAACAATTTAGGCTGCGATCGGAAATCCTACCCGTAGAGTAAAGTGGCGTTTGATTGACCAATCGGGATAAAAATTTCTTCGGCCCGATTGGTCGGTCAAATCCTACTCCATCCCACCAGTAAGATTTTCGAACGCGCTTTACGACAGCGGATTCGATCACGTTGGATCACTAGATCATTCGCGTCCCTATTGGTAACAAAATAGAGAATTTTTTGTCGCGTTTTCTATAGAAACTGCACCTAATATTCATCCAAAACATATTTCCGACGCGGGCGACGCGTCAAATATCTGATAATCTTGTTGTTTTTCTTTTTATTTCTAATATTGACTGTAAATATTGTAATTTTTATCGTGGAGGGAACACATAAAATTGTATTTTTGATCTTCAGGTTAGTCATTTAATCATATCTGTCAACAGCGTGAAGGCGATGCGATGCGCATGCGCTCAACGCTGATTGGAGCTGACCGAAGCCGACCGAGCGTGCACAGAGAGACTGAGAGATGTCGTGGCTCGCTTTATCCCTGGAAGTGATACTCCCTCTATGAACATTAACAACAAAATATGAACTACAAAACAAATGTCCACGAAGGTTCTCAGAGGATAACATATATGTCCCTCTGATAATATAAATAATATAAATAAAAATATAAATAATTTAATTAATAATAATTTATTATATAAAAATATTAATATGTTCTCTCTTTTCCTTGCTATTATTAATATTATATATTTATATTATATATTTATATTATATGTATAAATATTACATTTAAGTGTGAGTCCAAGAAGCAAATTTCGGATATTCACTGTAAGTCAGCCGCTCTTCGGGCGATCAGGACGAAATTTAAACGGTAGTGCCGCGAAATGGTGTAGAATTTTATGCAAAAAGAACGAAATCGCGTCTGGAAGTCGAGATATAAATTCGCTGTTTTTCGTCTGCGCACGGACGGTCGAAATCGTGCACGACGCCGCGCATGTTGCCTGCCTATCTCGCGCAATATTCACTGTAACGCGACGAGTAAAATGGCAAGCCGAATGTAATCGTTCGATTAATTGATTAAATACTTATATATACCGAACGAAAAGATGAATCGGAATGCAATCGTTCGATTAATTAATTAAATATAGATACTACGATCGCGGCGAAGCGGTGGGCGGGTCGCTCTCCGAAACATGATGGTGGTTTGCGATATATCGCGATTGTTCCGTGATACATCAATCGTTCATAATTAATTAATTTAAAATAAAATATACTTCTATAATTTAAAATGTCGCGTGTATATATAGTAAGCAAAATATTTCGGCAGAGAATTATCAATTAATATCATATGTTTGGCCTTGACGACGTATAGCAAGCGGCTATACATGTCATAGCTATGCCATCATTCACACGGTGACACTCGAATATAGAAAAATATTTAACAAAATGATAATTAAGTAAAGAACATTAAGAGCCCACAAACCAATTCGTTTCTTATAATTTATATTATTAGGAGAATATATTTTGCGAGGAGGTTGATGATGCGTTGATGACCTCTTTACAAATCATGTTCTCCTAATAACGCAAACGTAAAAATTTTCGAAAATTCGTTTCTTATAATTTATATTATCAGGAGAATATATTTTGCGAGGAGGTCGATGATGCGTTGATGACCTCTTTATAAATCATGTTCTCCTAATAACGCAAACGTGAAAATTTTCGAAAATTCGTTTCTTATAATTTATATTATCAGGAGAATATATTTTGCGAGGAGGTCGATGATGCGTTGATGACCTCTTTACAAATCATGTTCTCCTAATAACGCAAGAGTGAAAATTTTCGAAAATTCGTTTCTTATTATTTTATATTATCAGGAGAATATATTTTGCGAGGAGGTCGATGATGCGTTGATGACCTCTTTACAAATCATGTTCTCCTAATAACGCAACCGTGAAAATTTTCGAAAATTCGTTTCTTATTATTTTATATTATCAGGAGAATATATTACGCGAGAAGGTCGAAGATGCGTTGATGACCTCTTTACAAATCATGTTCTCCTAATAACGCAAGCGCGAAAATTTTCGAAAATTCGTTTCTTATAATTTATATGATCAGGAGAATATATTTTGCGCGGAGGTCGATGATGCGTTGATGACCTCTTTACAAATCATGTTCTCCTAATAACGCAAACGCGAAAATTTTCGAAAATTCGTTTCTTATAATTTATATGATCAGGAGAATATATTGTGCGAAGAGGTCGATGATACGTTGATGACCTCTTTACAAATCATGTTCTCCTAATAACGCAAACGTGAAAATTTTCGAAAATTCGTTTCTTATAATTTATATTATCAGGAGAATATATTTTGCGAGGAGGTCGATGATGCGTTGATGATCTCTTTACAAATCATGTTCTCCTAATAACGCAAGCGCGAAAATTTTCGAAAATTCGTTTCTTATAATTTATATTATCAAGAGAATATATTGTGCGAGGAGGTCGATGATGCGTTGATGACCTCTTTACAAATCATGTTCTCCTAATAACGCAAGCGTGAAAATTTTCGAAAATTCGTTTCTTATTATTTTATATTATCAGGAGAATATATTTTGCGAGGAGGTCGATGATGCGTTGATGACCTCTTTACAAATCATGTTCTCCTAATAACGCATGCGTGAAAATTTTCGATAATCGTTTCTTATTATTTTATATTATCAGGAGAATATATTTTGCGAGGAGGTCGATGATGCGTTGATGACCTCTTTACAAATCATGTTCTCCTAATAACGCAAGCACGAAAATTTTCGAAAATTCGTTTCTTATTATTTTATATTATCAGAAGAATATATATTGCGAGGAGGTCGATGATGCGTTGATGACCTCTTTACAAATCATGTTCTCCTAATAACGCAAGCGCGAAAATTTTCGAAAATTCGTTTCTTATAATTTATATTATCAGGAGAATACGTTTTGCGAGGAGGTCGATGATGCGTTGATGACCTCTTTACAAATCATGTTCTCCTAATAACGCAAGCGCGAAAATTTTCGAAAATTCGTTTCTTATAATTTATATTATCAGGAGAATACGTTTTGCGAGGAGGTCGATGATGCGTTGATGACCTCTTTACAAATCATGTTCTCCTAATAACGCAAGCGCGAAAATTTTCGAAAATTCGTTTCTGATAATTTATATGATCAGGAGAATATATCGTGCGAGGAGGTCGATGATGCGTTGATGACCTCTTTACAAATCATGTTCTCCTAATAACGCAAGCGCGAAAATTTTCGAAAATTCGTTTCTGATAATTTATATGATCAGGAGAATATATCGTGCGAGGAGGTCGATGATGCGTTGATGACCTCTTTACAAATCATGTTCTCCTAATAACGCAAGCGTGAAAATTTTCGAAAATTCGTTTCTTATTATTTTATATTATCAGGAGAATATATTGTGCGAGGAAGTCGATGATGCGTTGATGACCTCTTTACAAATCATGTTCTCCTAATAACGCAAGCGTGAAAATTTTCGAAAATTCGTTTCTGATAATTTATATGATCAGGAGAATATATCGTGCGAGGAGGTCGATGATGCGTTGATGACCTCTTTACAAATCATGTTCTCCTAATAACGCAAGCGCGAAAATTTTCGAAAATTCGTTTCTTATTATTTTATATTATCAGGAGAATATATCGTGCGAGGAGGTCGATGATGCGTTGATGACCTCTTTACAAATCATGTTCTCCTAATAACGCATGCGCGAAAATTTTCGAAAATTCGTTTCTTATTATTTTATATTATCAGGAGAATATATTTTGCGAGGAGGTCGATGATGCGTTGATGACCTCTTTACAAATCATGTTCTCCTAATAACGCAAGCGCGAAAATTTTCAATAATTCGTTTCTTATTATTTTATATTATCAGGAGAATATATTGTGCGAGGAGGTCGATGATGCGTTGATGACCTCTTTACAAATCATGTTCTCCTAATAACGCAAGCGAGAAAATTTTCGAAAATCCGTTTCTTATTATTTTATATTATCAGGAGAATATATTTTGCGAGGAAGTCGAAGATGCGTTGATGACCTCTTTACAAATCATGTTCTCCTAATAACGCAAGCGTGAAAATTTTCGAAAATTCGTTTCTTATTATTTTATATTATCAGGAGAATATATTTTGCGAGGAGGTCGATGATGCGTTGATGACCTCTTTACAAATCATGTTCTCCTAATAACGCATGCGTGAAAATTTTCGATAATCGTTTCTTATTATTTTATATTATCAGGAGAATATATTTTGCGAGGAGGTCGATGATGCGTTGATGACCTCTTTACAAATCATGTTCTCCTAATAACGCATGCGTGAAAATTTTCGATAATCGTTTCTTATTATTTTATATTATCAGGAGAATATATTTTGCGAGGAGGTCGATGATGCGTTGATGACCTCTTTACAAATCATGTTCTCCTAATAACGCAAGCGCGAAAATTTTCGAAAATTCGTTTCTTATAATTTATATTATCAGGAGAATATATTTTGCGAGGAGGTCGATGATGCGTTGATGACCTCTTTACAAATCATGTTTTCCTAATAACGCATGCGTGAAAATTTTCGATAATCGTTTCTTATTATTTTATGTTATCAGGAGAATATATTGTGCGAGGAGGTCGATGATGCGTTGATGACCTCTTTACAAATCATGTTCTCCTAATAACGCAAGCGCGAAAATTTTCGAAAATTCGTTTCTTATAATTTATATTATCAAGAGAATATATTGTGCGAGGAGGTCGATGATGCGTTGATGACCTCTTTACAAATCATGTTCTCCTAATAACGCAAGCGTGAAAATTTTCGAAAATTCGTTTCTTATTATTTTATATTATCAGGAGAATATATTTTGCGAGGAAGTCGAAGATGCGTTGATGACCTCTTTACAAATCATGTTTTCCTAATAACGCAAGCGTGAAAATTTTCGAAAATTCGTTTCTTATTATTTTATATTATCAGGAGAATATATTTTGCGAGGAGGTCGATGATGCGTTGATGACCTCTTTACAAATCATGTTCTCCTAATAACGCATGCGTGAAAATTTTCGATAATCGTTTCTTATAATTTATATTATCAGGAGAATATATTTTGCGAGGAGGTCGATGATGCGTTGATGACCTCTTTACAAATCATGTTCTCCTAATAACGCAAGCGTGAAAATTTTCGAAAATTCGTTTCTTATAATTTATATTATCAGGAGAATATATTTTGCGAGGAGGTCGATGATGCTTTGATGACCTCTTTACAAATCATGTTCTCCTAATAACGCAAGCGTGAAAATTTTCGAAAATTCGTTTCTTAATATTTTATATTATCAGGAAAATATATTTTGCGAGGAGGTCGATGATGCGTTGATGACCTCTTTACAAATCATGTTCTCCTAATAACGCAAGCGCGAAAATTTTCGAAAATTCGTTTCTTATAATTTATATAATCAGGAGAATACGTTTTGCGAGGAGGTCGATGATGCGTTGATGATCTCTTTACAAATCATGTTCTCCTAATAACGCAAGCGTGAAAATTTTCGAAAATTCGTTTCTTATAATTTATATTATCAGGAGAATATATTTTGCGAGGAGGTCGATGATGCGTTGATGACCTCTTTACAAATCATGTTCTCCTAATAACGCAAGCGTGAAAATTTTCGAAAATTCGTTTCTTATAATTTATATGATCAGGAGAATATATCGTGCGAGGAGGTCGATGATGCGTTGATGACCTCTTTACAAATCATGTTCTCCTAATAACGCAAGCGCGAAAATTTTCGAAAATTCGTTTCTTATTATTTTATATTATCAGGAGAATATATCGTGCGAGGAAGTCGATGATGCGTTGATGACCTCTTTACAAATCATGTTCTCCTAATAACGCAAGCGTGAAAATTTTCGAAAATTCGTTTCTTATAATTTATATGATCAGGAGAATATATCGTGCGAGGAGGTCGATGATGCGTTGATGACCTCTTTACAAATCATGTTCTCCTAATAACGCAAGCGCGAAAATTTTCGAAAATTCGTTTCTTATAATTTATATGATCAGGAGAATATATCGTGCGAGGAGGTCGATGATGCGTTGATGACCTCTTTACAAATCATGTTCTCCTAATAACGCATGCGTGAAAATTTTCGATAATCGTTTCTTATTATTTTATGTTATCAGGAGAATATATTGTGCGAGGAGGTCGATGATGCGTTGATGACCTCTTTACAAATCATGTTCTCCTAATAACGCAAGCGCGAAAATTTTCGAAAATTCGTTTCTTATAATTTATATGATCAGGAGAATATATTTTGCGCGGAGGTCGATGATGCGTTGATGACCTCTTTACAAATCATGTTCTCCTAATAACGCAAGCGCGAAAATTTTCGAAAATTCGTTTCTTATTATTTTATATTATCAGGAGAATATATTTTGCGAGGAGGTCATTGATGTTTTGATGACTTCTTTACAAATCATGTTCTCCTAATAACGCAAACGTGAAAATATTTGAAAATTCGTTTCTTATAATTTATATTATCAGGAGAATATATTTTGCGAGGAGGTCGATGATGCGTTGTTGACCTCTTTACAAATCATGTTCTCCTAATAACGCAAGCGTGAAAATTTTCGATAATCGTTTCTTATTATTTTATATTATCAGGAGAATATATTTTGCGCGGAGGTCGATGATGCGTTGATGACCTCTTTACAAATCATGTTCTCCTAATAACGCAAGCGCGAAAATTTTCGAAAATTCGTTTCTTATAATTTATATGATCAGGAGAATATATTTTGCGCGGAGGTCGATGATGCGTTGATGACCTCTTTACAAATCATGTTCTCCTAATAACGCAAGCGCGAAAATTTTCGATAATTCGTTTCTGATTATTTTATATTATCAGGAGAATATATTGTGCGAGGAGGTCGATTATGCGTTGATGACTTCTTTACAAATCATGTTCTCCTAATAACGCAAGCGCGAAAGTTTTCGAAAATTCGTTTCTTATTATTTTATATTATCAGGAGAATATATTTTGCGAGGAGGTCGAAGATGCGTTGATGACCTCTTTACAAATCATGTTCTCCTAATAACGCATTTAAAAAAAAAAAAAAAAAAAATTTCGCGAACAATTAATGTTCGAAATAATTTACGCATTGCCATTCGCGTTTTGTGGGCTCTTAATGCTCTTTACTTAATTATCATGTTGATAAATACATAGAGCCGTATTATTTACCAATTTATTTTGAAAAATATTTATTTCATCTTTGAATATTACAGTATCTGTCGCGATTGAATAATTTATTTATTATCAATTTACACACATAAGTATTTAATTGTTATATAGCACTGGTGCTACCGGCATTTCGTGCATATAGCACGGAACAAAACCAGAAATTGTGCAATTATATATTACCCTCTGAGAACATTCATGGCCTCTGTTTTTGTAGTTCATGTCCATGTTTTGTATGTCCATAGAGGGAGTATCACTTTTGGGGTCACTCCATAGCTTGGACATGAACCATAGCTCAGACACGAACCATGTATTATTATCGACTGTAATGGATGTAGTTGACGTCCACTTTGTCAGGGAGCGCATTAGGACAATATACCCGTTAAAGCGAGGTGACCGCTCTCAGGTTTCTCTCTGATTAGAACTATGCGAATCATCTATCATTGAAATAATATGTCATTTCTTTGTATTTTTATAGAATTTTGCAAAACCAATATTTATAAAAGAATATGCAACGACGTCTAGCAATCAACGTAACACAATGAGCACTAAGACAAATACAAATACTGAGAGGATAACTGCTACGAATAAAAAGACTGGGAAGAAACTTTTGAAGGCACATGATGTGGAACATAAGGTCTTACAGATGTCTTTATAGTACAATTTCTATTACAAACTTTATAATATATTTGTATAATTCTTATCATTTTGATGCGCAGCATGTAACAGCAGGCAGTGCCAAAGAAGTTGTATTTCTCAGTAAAGGTGATATTGTGGAAGTCACGTTAAAAAGGCAAGAAAAAGCTAAAGATCAAAAACATACTTCACCTGTAATTTCTAGTCCTGGACAGAAAGCTGAAAGAAAAAGATCTGCAACTAGTAATAGTGAAGCTCCACGAAGCTGGGGTGCTATACTCGGGGAGCAGAATTTATTATATATGAAAGCAGCACAATCTTATAAACATAGCGAAAATAAAGAGATCAACAAGAATTCAAATGCTAAAAAAGTGCAGCAAAATGGATATAATGTGAGTATATATCAAATATGATTTTATAAAATTTATATATATATATATATATATATATATATATATATATATACACAGGTATTTTTAATTTTGTATTTGAATTATTTTTTTGTTATAGCATGTTGAGAAACATACTGATACAAAATCAAAAGGAATGCCTTCCCAAGAGAAATCAAAAAAGGATTCAAAAGATTTATACGTTCTTGTTCAAGATCGTGCTGTACAATGTCCCGAAATAGGCAATAATGCCAACAGATTTGTTGAATTTAATCCAGTGCATACATTAAGTTTTTTAATGAAAGAACTGAAGGATTTAATTACAAAGAAAGATGATAGAACTTGTGAAATATTTGCTGAAATGGAGCAAGTATTGCTAAGGATACCTGTAGGCTCTGCAAAACCAATAGAGGTATTTATTGTTTTGTGACTTAAATCTTATGCATATTTTTGAACTTAAGTTTTTCTGCCATTATCATTATATATATTCTGTTATTTATAGGATTTGGAGAAACTAGACACATTAGAAGCTGGTGCAATTCATTTAAAGGAATCTAGTAAAAAAGTGAAGGCTTTGTTGGAATCATGGGCATCAGAGCGAGAAAAACTGCAAAGGTTTGATGTGCAATACATCAATAATAATGAGAAAGATTGGGAATTTAGTTTCAGTTGTTAAATTTTTCTGTTCTATTTCAAATCAGTTTAATTCGAGAGCGAGACGCGCAAATCAAGGAAGCGAATCAAAAACAAAAAGAGATTGTACTCCATGCAGAGATGCTAAAATTGGAGGAAGTAACTTGTGTAACAAAAGCTAAAGATGAAGTAATATCGGCATTAAAGGAACAAATTATAAATAATGAAAAACTAATCTCAGATTTAGAAGCAGAACTGAGTAAACAAACAGAATTTGCACGACGTTATGAATGTCTGAAAATAGATAAAGATAAACTTTTAAAATTGTCTTCTTGCAAGGATACATTAATTACTCAATATCAAAATACAATAATGTTAGTATTCTTCTATTAATCTTTATATTAATCCATATATATATATATATATATATATATATATATATATATATTTCTAAAAATTTTTAATGATATAAATTGTATAATAACTAATGAATTCATCACAATGAATTTGAAACCTTATTTGACACTTGTTCATTAAAAGATCATATAATTAATATATTATCAATTTACAATATATATTACAGGGAGTTACAAACTCAACTCGAAAATCTCAAATTGAATAATTTGGATGAAGTATTTGCGAAAGGAGGAAGTACAAGTTCTCAAGTGTCAGCTATTCAAATAGGACTTGCATATTCATCTCCTACATCGAGTTTTTCAGATCACTCTAATAAATCCTGGCATGATTTATCGGATATTTCTACAGTAGAACATGCCTCTCGAGAACATGTTACTCTAAAGGAAGAAGTACCCGTTAGAGATTCGGCACGTTTAGAATTTGTTAGCTTACTCGACGGGGAATCATCGCATACTATAATACCCGATCAAAGTCAAGGCAAGTCTACTTGAATTTATTTTATATAACTGCAAAAATATTGCTATTAATAAAGTTGTTTTAATGCGATTTATAATTTACATTATATTTTATATTGACAGTGATGAATGATAAAGGAACAGTGCACAACAATAATAAAAGTAATATTATTCCTTATCAAAACGTGAATGATGTGATTCCGAAAAGATGCTTATATGATTCCTTGAAAAAAGGGCATAATAAAGAAAACGATATGTGTAAAATGAGAAAATTTTCCAAATTTAAGGAAAGACAAAAAGATAACACGAAAAATTCGTTTTGTCATAATACATCGAAAATTCTTGAAAGTGTTACATCTAAACCAGTTATTTCTGACATAAGGAAACAAGGATACGATATGCATAATAGGATACCTGTTAATGTACCGAGTCCATTACGGGATTATCCTTATCCTGATTGGAGCGACAGTAGTTTACCTAGCGTTAGTACAGCTTTCGGTTTAGACATAGTGCCATCGAACGATATTAAAGAAGCTATAGACTTAAATTAAACTATTTTTGCAAAGTTTTCCCATTTGAAAAATTACTGATAATTATGTATGCTAAGTCACTGAACATATATCCGAACTTATATCTTGTTGCAGAGCTGTGATATGCAATCGTACAATACATATTCTACTTCATAACAAAGTCTATGAATGCTAAAGCAATTTTTAAGCGATTAAATGAAATTGGTTAGTACAATTAAAATATGTATTAAATACACATAGTTTACAATAAACACACACATTCCTATTGAAATGATGGAACGTAAAATTTGTATCTATATTTTGCATAAATATTGAGATTTTTCCACATTTTATTAGTTTAAAATTAAAGCATAGACTTGACAGAATTCTAATCGAAATTATAAAAATATATAGACAATCAAAAATATATTTTTCTGTAAATATATAAAATTTTTATTTGCAAATTTATTTGTAGTGGTATCATATTTGTCACGGTATCAAGATTTTGACATATACCTGTATTATATTACGAATTAACTATGCACATATAATATGTTTCAACGTATACACTTGCTTTACGGAGAACAGGTCACGAATATAAATTTTACGCACAAGAACAAGATGTATATATAGATATATATATATATGTATTTTTTTTTATCACATATGTATATATACAAGTAAAGTATAATACTTATAATATTTTGTAAGTCTTAATAGGATTAAAAGGGAACATTTTAATACACGTAAAACATTCATCAGCTTTGCATGAAGACGTCTTGAAATACATTTTATATTCGTGTTTTCCAGTAAGCGTGTGGTATGTAATTTTTTTTCTGGGAACGATTCGCGATTCTTTTTCTTTCGATGACTTTTAAAGAGAAATGTTTATCTCTGCTAATGCCTAATAACATCACGAACACAATCCCAATTCGATTTAACACACACGCAAAATGAATAACGATCAACTTAGAAACGAAAAGGACTTTGCAATTTCGTTCGGATGAGAAAACGGATACGATGAAAACGTACGATAAATGTTTAAAAATCTTTTTATTTATACACACTCGTGCTCTCTCACAAGGGAATTTTCCTCGGTCTATCTCCTTTTTTTTACACACATTTAATTATAGTATACCTAAGGACGTACCCCGTATCTTTTTTTTTTATAAAATAGTAAATCACATGTTTCGCCAGTCGTTTAATTTTGATTATTAATTTCAGGCTTTCAAATCAACGCGTGCTACCTTCCTCCTCCCAGTCTCCTCTTCATTTTCGCGCGCAGTCGTAGATTCGATATATATCGATACCTCCCTTCGTTCTCGACCAAAATGTCCAATTTTGTGGCGCGATGCGACGTTTCGCTTCATCCGTTCGAAGAAAATTCCGTCGCGATTTGAGGATATATTTCAAGTTTCCTTCCCCCGGATACGTATACTTTCACGTACAAGTAAGTACGGTTGTTGTTGTTCTCTTAGTACATATTACAGAGGTGTTCTAAAAAACGTGAATTTTATTTGATTCGTCCGCCGGTGGTCTCCCACTATATACGTTTAAATCGTCTCTTGTAACGTATACTATCAAACATATCGGATGGTATCAAAAGTCACGTGTTTTCTTCAAGTTAGCGGGAAAGAATCTTCGATCAAAGCTTAATCGATCGTAATTTTCGACATTTTTCAATCATAGATCGCAAATCAAGAGTTTGTCAGGAAAATTAATTTCCAAGGATAAATTTTATCGTTCATTCATATCTCGAAGTCCTAAATCGTCAAAAAAACCCTTGATTTGCAGTAATAATTCAAATTCATCAGAGAGTTACGTGAAAAAACACGAGACTTTTGACGCAGCCTGTATATGTAAAAATCATGTAAATAAAAAATACGATATATCTAGACTATAATAAAAACCGTGCACAGTGTTCTATCGGATGAGAAACTACCTCGATAAAACACTGTAAATCGATCGATCAGATAATGCAACAGCAATGACTGTTGCCGATGAAGAGACGTGTCTTGTACGCAAACGTTTGCCATGATTTCGCATCAGCTAATCAGCTTTTATCTCTTGGAGGGATTATTATATTTCGAGGTTATTTTTATCAACGAGTTCTATGAAAAAAACTAAACAGAACTGCGACTTTAGTTTCGTCGAAATTTCTGCAAAGAGATTCTGATAAAAAGAAAGATACCACGTAAAGTCGCGTGACTCTTGATAGTGTATTCGAAGTAGCTCTCTCTCGCGGCGTTTAAATAATAAAAAACTCTTATTTCACATTCTAATCGCGTGAAATGTACGCGAACATTCTTTCCGTAAAATTTAGAGATTACCTCGAAAGACAATCGCGCAAATCAAATCGAAATTCCGATCGCTATGTATTTTAATCTCGCAATATTCGATCGATCGGTCATCTTCGACTTGGATTACATTGGAGCAAAAGCATCAAAATCTGCCGTGAAATTACGTTGACATCTCGCTCTTGGTTTGATTTTATATCTCGCGTATAAGAAATAGCCGAAAGAATAATATGTCGGAGAGAAAAATATTTAACACACACGGTATTCGGCACGGAAACCTTTGCGTAAGTGTGTACGTGTATATGTGCGCGTTCGTATACCTATCATTTTTTTTTAAATAAATACATATGTACATTTTTTTGTGTCGATCGTAAAGTTAAACGCGTGCGTTCGCCTTTGGTACCATTTGCTCTCTGTCTTTTTGATTTTCCTCGCTTCGAAGCGCATACACATCTCGCGATTTTGAAGATATTCGGAATTAACTATAGCGTCAATGTATAATATAATACAATCGGTGCTGTGAAGACAACGGACGAATGGAATGCTAACTATATCTATTTGGACAGGCCAGCTCGTTTCGCACAATTTCGCAGAAGAGTGTCTCGTGAAGAAATTAACACTTTCGTAATTTTTGATGATCGCGGATTAACGGCCGCACGGTATAATATGACTAACATATGTATACGTATCATATAATGCGTATATTACAGTAGACGATCATTCGTGTAGAAATCGTAAAATTGTGAGTCGATTAAAATGAATCTAGCCGACTTTATAATATCCTAATTAATAATCTCAACTATATAATTATACGCCCAAATATAGCTCAGATATCGGAAGTGATAGTGGGCTGTTGTAAAAATAAAAATTTAACATTTGTCATCTTGAGGTTGCATGTTATGGAAGGACATGTTTTATTGTTTTATTGTACGTTATATACTGCTTTGTTCGGTGTAAAAATATAAAGCATTTCGATTACAGACTTCATACGTATGGGCGTTGCCATTGTTACGGAGTAATCGGTGGCTATTACGATAACTTGTCTCATACTTTCCTCTTCAACTTTGTCTTCTTCCTTGACGTAGGATTGCGTGCGTCCGTTTAAAAAAAAATCGACGGTCCGAGAAAAAATGTAATACGCGAAATTATAGAGAGACACAATTACTACAATCAAACCGTTAGGAGATTATTCCTAGATAATCGGACAAAAATTGAAATGTGTCGCAGCGCGAGCATCTTTCTTTCGCGCTGAAAGAATAACGTTAAAATCCGATTGTCCTCGAGAAATTTTTGTTTCTTAGATTCTTGGGATCCTCTGTCTTAATTGTCCTTCGGACAATAGTTACTACATTCTAAAGGGACGCAATTACACGTGGATATTAAAAAAATAATCCCGGCTTTATGTAAGCAATCCTACTTCAAGAAACACAGTCCCGAGTTCTCGTTCGTCTAACAATGGCCCAGACTATGGAGTTAATAATTGCTTTCATGTGGCAATGGTAACAATATGTGTGTATAACAAATATACTTAGAACGGTTTCACTTGTGGTATTACGGTTCTCTGCAATAAATCATATTCATCTGTTCAACTGCTGCTGAATAACAAGGTATGCGGAGTAATATATGTAGGTACAACGCGACCAACTTTCTGCATCGCTTTTCTGTCAAACAAAAGACAATTACTCATATAATTATCGAAGAGCGAAGACAACTTCGGCTACGTTTTCTTCACTTCTGCGTCTTTGGGTTTTAAATAAAGCTTTTTCCCCGTAAAAAAAAGATGAAAATTTAGAGAAATCGATTTTCACATACACACTTTTCCGCATACAAATTTATCAGAGATTGAAAATTTATCAATTTTTTTCCCCGTGCAATCCATTTTAATCCTTTCAACGGCGAATTCTTTCATAAAAATTAAGACTCTATTTCGTTGCAGAGAGAGAGCAAACTTCTTTCTAATTCTCCATATCCGGCACTTTATTATATCGTTATACTTTATTCCGCGAAAGGTATTAAAAGGATTATTTCTTCAATCGCTCTTCGTAAGCCACGTTTGCAATCTATGCTTTATCATTCGATTTATCAATTTCTTTTTTAATTCATGTTCTTTTTGCGGGGGTTTTTCGGACACCGAGTGCCTGTCTTTTTGCCGCTCCTCCGATTATACGAATAAATCACAAAAGTAATTGTCCGGAAAGCGACGCAAAACTTCCGTCGATGTATGGACTTGCTGCAATTAAACACTATACACTTCCTGCTCGTGCCCCCCAAAATACGTACGGACTTTCGAACGACTACTATTTGCAGTCTACTAGGCGCGAGATACGCAATATGTTGTGTGTATGTGTGTGTGAATTATCGTTATTATTACTCTGACGAACATTCTTTTTTCTCTGTTCCTCTCTCTCTCTCTCTCTGTCATTCTCAAGAATTGTAAAATTACAGAACCCGTGGTCCTCTATTTACACACACACACTAGTGATTCCCATTTTTTTAATCGTTTAGCGTATACCAAGAAACGCATACGCGAGAACAACATAGTATTGCGACACACGTGTGTTAACGCAATCTGCCAAATCTCGATTACGTAATTTCGATCAACGGAGTCGCGATATAACATCACCGGACGGGCAGATTTCTCTCTCCCCGGATTTTAATTGGTTCGGCGCGTCCAGTTTACGAGAATAATAATAATAATAATAATAATAATAATAATAATAATAATAATAATAATAATAATAATGACGCCGCGCAATTGTACATTTCCGGAAGTTAGTTATCTCCGTGCGTCCCAATACCTTACCGTCTCTCGCGTAACGTGCATGTGTATATATATATATATATATATATATATATATATATATATTTATTTATTTATTTATTATGTATAGTATAAACATCTTTTTTTGTTCTCATGTGCGCTCGACCGTCTCAATACACAAGATTCGGAGAAACATCACCTAATCGAGATGAGTGCAACGTAAAATTTTGGAAAAGTTATCGCTTGGACAGTCGAACGAAATCCTAATCAGTCGATGTGTAATACAAGCGCGTCCGTCCTGCTCCCCCCTCCCTTCCCTCCCCCGCATTATTTATTATAGTATATATTTATA